AATAAATTTTTAAATACTCAATTATAATAAACAAATTATTAAAATATGCATAAACCAATTTGAAAAGGAGAGGGTAAATATAATTAAATACTTGAAAATTCTTGATTTTTTTTTTCATTTCGCCCAGCCCTATTTCTAAATATTGGTTGCAATGTGCATATTTATAGAATGGTCCTGCACTTGATTCCATTATAGAATTTCCAACAAATGTGTTTCAGTAAATGTTTTGAGCAGCTGCAACAGGCTGAGCTCTCTTGAAACTTTTCATGTGTGACATTGAAAATGTCTTGTATGGTGAGTTTGAATAACCTATGATGTAAACATACAAGTTGCCCACGCAGTACAATCAGATTTAGCTGTAGGTCCAAACAAAAGAAAAAAAGTCAAACGGGAACTGACATTGTTCATACTGACTTTTTTTTTTTGGTATATGAACAGAACGTGGGTTTAAGTATTGCATGCACAAAGACGCACAAAATATGATGTCTGTCCCTGTATAAAAGTCAATCATTAACACCACACACTGTTACATGGGTGGGGGTGTAGACTGACTGTAATGTGGGACTAAGGGCACAGAGGCATATCAAAGATACACTTATGACAAATACAAACTCATTACAGGCCAGATTAAAAAGTGTAAAGGTCGTTAGACTCACATGAACAGTTATTGTGGGAAAAAGTCAAACAGAAAAGTGCAGCTGACATCAGTGACTTTATAAATGAAAAGAAAAAACCTTAAGGTGTTTGTAATGAGCTTCAGTCACATGACTTATAAGCATGATCTTAAGGGGAAAATGAAAGTTAACTACTGTATATTAACCATATTGGATATTACTACACAACATTTTGGAATAAGTTTGTGTCAGACCAAAAACAAACCCAAAAGGCAATGGTCACAAACTCAAATCCTGGAGGGCCGCAGCTCTGCTTAGTTTAGTTCCAACCACCTCCAACTCACCCCTGCTTAACAGTCTCTTGTCTTGAACCCCTTGATTATGAGTTGGTGTTTAAGACTACAAGAGTGATGACTTGATTAGTTGGATGAGCTGTGTTTGATTAGGGTTGGAGCAAACTGTGCAGAGCTGCAGCCCTCCAGGAATCGAGTTTGAGACCTATGCAACAAGGAGTCAATCTGACACTCAACTCTTTGAAAAGTCTTAAGTATTGTGTTGTAATAAGATATAAAGCAATTTGTTCAAGCATAAAATTGGGCAAGAGTACATTTGGGGAAACCTATTAAAAAATTCACAAGCCACACAAGTCATTTCAAACTCATATAAAACCACCTAGCATATCTCAGCAGCATTATGAAAGTCCTAACCCTAGTGATCATAACAACACTGTAATGGGGAACAACATTTGAAAATCTTCCTCATTGTCTAAATTAAGGTACTAAAAGCTAAATAAAATGGGAGGTGAAAAGCACAAAAAACTGTTTATCTGAATTTATGCTGCAACATCAAGTACAAAAGAAAGGGAGAAGGAATAGTTCACTAAAAAAATAAAAACCACTTTCATCTTTCACTGCCTATACTTGTTCCAAATCTGTATGCATTTCTTTCTTCTGATTAACACAAAAGAAGATTTTTAGAGCATATGTAACCAAACACTTATTGGACTTGTTGATTTCCCTAGTATTGTTTCTGCTTCTATGGAAGTCAAACATCAAGTCAAGACAAGTCTTTTTCATTTTAACAGCAATTTTACAATGAAGATTATGTCAAAAGCAGCTTGTGTTAGAATGCTGGTGTAGTTCTAGTTAAATGACAACTGATTCAGTTTAATTTAATACAAATTTCACTGTTTGAAGTTTGGTTCAGTTTAATTTATTCATTCATTCGTTCATTTTCTTGTCTCTTTATTAATCCGGGGTCGCCACAGCGGAATGAACCGCCAACTTATCCAGCTAGATTTTATGCAACGGATGCCCTTCCAGCCACAACCCAAATCTGGGAAACATCCACACACACTCATACACTACGGACAATTTAGCCTACCCAATTTACATGTACCGCATGTCTTTGGACTGTGGGGGAAAACGGAGCAACCAGAAGAAACCCACGCGAACGCAGGGAGAACATGCAAACTCCACACAGAAACGGCAACTGAGCAAAGGCTCGAACCAGCGACCCAGCGGCCTTCTTGCTGTGAGGCGACAGCACTACAGACAGCACTGCTTATACCCAGTTTAAATCAGTGAAGTGTAATTCCAAAATTACTGTTGAAGGGTGCTTTTACACTTGGTTCAATTGCCTGGACCAAACCTAGGTCTGATTGCCCCCCTTGCCATCTTCTTAACTGGTTTGTGTTCACACTAGGCAAGGGACAGTATTAAGCAGGTCGCACACCAGAAGCACTCGGCAACGCACAGCATCGCACCACGCTGCGCCATGCATGTCAGAATTTTAAACATAGATTTTTATCAGGTAGGGCTGGGCGATTTAGCAAAAAAAAAAAATCTTAGTTTTTTATAAAGTTTGACCGATTCATGATTTCGATCTTTTTTTTTATTATTGTGTTAATAGTCTTCTCAAAACATTACAACAACATGACTGAAGTAACATTCTCTTTAAAAGTAACTTGAAGAAAAGGACTGAACATGGAAACTGTAAAGCCTAATTTAACCCAATGTGTTGTGTTGTGGACGTATAGCAGGAGCAAATAAAAGCACCAGATGTGTGTCTAATATAAAATAATATATTTAATCTATTTTTCTTTTTTCCCCCTTTTAAATACCAACCATTTGATGCGCTTTGCTCCACTCTCTGTATTATGCTGCCTGATCTGTCTGGTTTTCAACTAGGTCCGCGAAATGACGTCATGGGGACGGGTACTTTCATTTTCACTGCTACAGTCCCTCACTTCTACTCATGTTCAAACCAAAAGATCGGGGCGGTTTGGCTTTTACGTCCTTTATACATGTTGAGATCGAGTTTATCGACTTGATTAGGGAATGTCTTGACAATCCACACAGACGTGCAACAAGTAAAATCCTACATGACTTCACACTTTAACAGGCAGTCAAGCAGGTCGCACACCAGAAGTGCCGCGCCGCAACATGACCGTTTAAACTATCACACACCAAACGCGCACATTCGCATGATATTTAACATGAAACTAATCTGATGGCGCTCTGTGGGCCGGCTGAAATATGAACTGCTTCGTGAATCGTGGCTGGGCGGCGCCGGTGTGTGTATAGAACCTGTTTAGAGTTCTAAAATCCATGGCGCTGCGTGGTGCTGCGCGGCAGAGAGGCGCTTCTAGTGTGCTTCCTGCTTCATACAGAGAGTGAATCAAAGCGCATTGGTGCCATTATAATTGTATTAAATATATATACATATTTTTTAATCGTGATTTCTTGATTTGATTCAAAATTAAATCGTCTTAAAACGTAAATTCGAATTAATCGAAAAAAATCTGAAAAATCGCCCAGTCCTACTATCAGGGTACACACACTGGCGCCGCAAGTCGGTGGCACCCAGCCACGACTCAGAACACTGTTCATATTTCTGCCACGCCACAGAGCGCCATCTGATTAGTTTCATTTTAAATAGCATGCGAATGCGCATGTCTGGTGTGTGATACTTTAAACTGGCATGTGCGCGCCTTGTCGCGGCGCTGAGCAGTGCAGCGCCCTTTAGACATGGGCCGGTTTAAGATTCTGACGGTATGATAATCTTGGATAAAAATATCCCGGTTTCACGGTATTGTGATTCCAGCTCTAAAATATATTCTTTTTTTAATGAATGGTATAAAACTAAAACATTTTTCCTTTTAAATATAATATATATATTATTTTGAGAAACATTTAAATTATTTTGGAACATTAATCATGTCAAGCTAAATGAATAATTGACTTCTGATGTCTTCATTTGTTTCAAAAACCGATTTTTTTTAACTATTTAAAACAGCATCTTTGGATATTTTTTCTGCTAAAGATACTGTTGTCCTAAAAAAAAAAAAAAACATGATTAAAACAATCTTACACATACCTTTAGGAACGGTACAGCGGAAATTTTTGACGGTTTTAAAACCTTGACTTTTCTAAACCACAGAAAACAATTATTGTCCCATGCCTGGACGGTATAAGATTCTGAGGATATAATAACCTTGGATAAAATTTCATTCTATCACAGTATTGTGATTACTGCTCTAAAATGTATTCTTATTATATTCCGAGTTAAAAACAACTTCAGTTAGCTTTCACTTTCCTTGTATAGAAAAAAATGCTGCTGTAGCTAGTCTCTGACTTTCTGCCTTCGGGACAAAAACTGAACAGAATGAAGGTCACTAATTTACATATTAAGGATTTTGCGAGAAACTTTGCCTTTTGTCAAAAAATTAAACCACTTTTATAGCAGATAGTAAAGGTGCTGACAATAAAAATAAAAAATATCGTAATTTGATGTTTTTAATTGTATCAAATAAGCAACAATAAACTACAAAAATCGAGGGTTAGGGAGTGTGTGAATTATGCAACACAACAACACACAATATTTGCAGTCGTGACGGACACTTGTACACGATGCGGGTCCCCTTGTTGTTGCCACAGCAACACAATGACTCTGACCAAACCAATCAGTCAAATAGTAAATTGACTTGCACAACTTCTTAAAACTTTTATAACAAACTGCAAAGTTGCCTAGGCCGAAAATGAACAAGAATAAATATTTTATTAAGGGTAAATTAAAACAAAACTGCGTAATAGGCTCACAGATGAGTCATTTAACCCATGGTGAGGACAGGAAATAGTTTTAAAGAGTTTCTAAGGCGACATTAAACTCAAAAGAAATAAACTTATCGGCTATGATCGGGATTTAAGACTGATATAACGTTAAACATACGGCTATATTCATTCATAAGACCGGATGTATATTAGTGGACATATTTTACGACACATGTGCCGAAATCATCGCAGTTATAATTCTTCTCTTACAAAAGCTCTTGTTTGATCATCCAAACATTTACATTATATTACTAGAAACGAAGTCAGTGCCTACCACAGTCGCCAGGTTCAGAGTGACAGCGTGGCGCGGCGGCTCTGTCGTCGTGTCACTGGCGGTCCACTTAAAAAAGACGCCTTATCAGCACATTTATACTTTGGACAAAGCGACTGTCGTCGGGTTCACCATCTCTCTTCTCCTACCTGCCAGGTCTTAAGTAACTTCGCTTCTAGGAAGTGTATATCACATACGAAATGTTCGTGACGCACCGCTGTAATCCGAGAAAGAAGCGCAAGGTGGAAGAGAAACCATAGGTTTTATATTCACGACTTCCAGCTCAGGTTTGAACCTCGAACCGTGTTTTGAGTTCCGCGGTGAGGTGAGTAGTCGTAGGCGGGGCATCCGATGATTGATGTTTAGGAAACCAATGAAATTCCACCGCAGAGCCAATCAAGATATGGCATTTTAAAACAAAACAGAACAGAAACTATTATGTAATTCTGGTACACACAGGTAATCACTTCATCTATCTATCTATCTATCTATCTATCTATCTATCTATCTATCTATCTATCTATCTATCTATCTATCTATCTATCTATCTGTCTGTCTGTCTGTCTGTCTGTCTGTCTGTCTGTCTGTCTGTCTGTCTGTCTGTCTGTCTGTCTGTCTGTCTGTCTGTCTAATCTATATATCTATCCATCTCTAAATTAATTAAACTGAATCATTTACTAGCTTGGAATAATCACCTTATATCCATCTGAATTGTGAGGACTGCATTTGAAGAGGGAATCCCATCTACAGCATATCAGCACGATGCTATGGTATGATTAATTCATGTTAGACAAATGTGCTTCTTTGCATATTAGCCCAGGGTTGCCTTAACAACGAAGGCTTTAGTTCATGCCAACACCCATCTACTAGAAAGGGAATCCTCCCTTCAATGGAATGTACCAAACCAGTCAACCTGATTCAGGTACAGTATGTTTTAAATAAGAACCACACAGACAAGACAAACAATCACACAACTCGAGCACATCACTGAAGTGTTATAGACGTCATGTTGTCAGCTCTGGGAAAACTCTGAGCAGTGAAACCAGTGTTTTCCCATGACGGTGGGCAAGTAGAGAATACGGAAAATATGACACATTGGTTTCACTGATATGTCATTTCCCCGTTTCTCTATGCTAATGATATGTTATTGTAGAAGTTTAAGCAATTTTAATTAAATAGGTCTAATTCAGAATATTAATTACATTTCCTACTGCAAATACATCCCTGCTTTGTTTTTATTAAGTGGTTGACACAAATTCACTGTTTCATTAAAAGTCATAACATAAAAGTTTCATTTAAAAAGTAACGCTAAACACATAGGCTACAATTCATCAACAACTTAGTGATAGGCTAATTTGCATAGCAAATGTGTGACATTTTATAAGATCGTTAAATAACATATAGGTAAAACAATACACACTGTAGGTATATACAAAATTAAAAACCATAGGGTATACACATTTTATAAACATACAAAGCAGTCAATGAAAATTCTCATCCATTTCTTATTTTGAACATGTAACTTAAAGAGTGAACGGGTGTTAGTAACCCTGAACTATTACAAAGGAAACAGCGTACTCTGGGGGTCAAGTGGAGAATTGATAGATGCAGTAGTGAAAAGGGAGAGTTCACCCAAAATGAAAATTACCTCATTTACTATCCCTCATGGTTTTTTTTAAACCATTATGAGTTTTTTTTTACTTTTGTTGAACACAAATGAAGATATTTTAAAGAGTATTGGGATCCATCAACTTTCTATAGTAGGAAAAAATGGGTCCCAGCATTCTTCAAAATATCTTCTTTTGCATTCAACAGTGTGTTAAAACTCAAATAGGTCACTTGAACAAGTGAAGGGTAAATAAATGATGACAGAATAAAATTTTTTGGATGAACTGTCCTTACGGCATGGGATAGTAGACCCAAAAATGAAAACTGGTTTCATCTACTCACCCTCCATTTGTTCCAATTTGTATTATTATTGGATACCAAAAGCTTCCATGGATGCCTGTGGCTACCTGTTTACAGCATTCTTCAACCAATTTTAGTTTGAGTTCAACATAGAAATGAAACTCTAAAATTTGGAATCACTTCAAGGTGAGTAAACAATGCTTTTAATCATATTTTTGAGCGCAAATCTCCAGTTTTGTGTTTTTCTCAAACTGTTTGCACAAACAGCTCCATATATAATAAATAACTTGCTCAAACATTTCTTAGTTTATATCTCAAAAGTGAATATATGCATCATTCAGAATGACAAATCCCTTTTTCATTGTTGACAATTGATAACAATGTTATGCCATGTTGTCAATCTATCAGTGTACTCTGCTAGTTTTTCCTGATGATATTATGGCCAGGTTTTGATGACCTTGGAATTGGCTTATCAATTTTAACAAAATAAATGGTCACATAACTGTACAGTTTTACAGTATACAGTTTTACAGTACTGTACACATTATTGTATTAATATTACCAAAGTCTCTTTAAGGCAAGTCATTTCACTTGGCAGCCATCTTTGAAACGCCTCTCGGGCATGCTCGGGCATTCTGTCTGAATGGGGAATCATCAAACTCTCCAAAACTGCTTGCCAAGCTTACGATTGAATTTTGTAATAGGAATCACCAATAAGATTAAACGACTACTGTCTCTTTAGTTTCATTTCATTTAATTTTCATCTAAATCACACAACATCTGCAGAATCTCACTTCTGGTCTGAGCCCCTCCTCTGGAGTATTATAGAAGGCGGGATTTATTCACCATATAGCGATCGTTGATTGGCTCCTGTACTAGTAGACGGGGCTTGATTCCCTATATTGACTGTTACACTTTTCCACATTCAAAAGGATACGAGTGACATGTCTTGTGTATTCTAGAGTCTTTGGTATTACAAACGTTATGTCTATGTTTATATGATTGTAGACACAGTTGTCCTCTAAACATATGTATTACGAAAAATTGTCCCCATATGCATCCTTGTTATTCTTTCTTGTTTCATTGTTATTCTTTTCTTTTTTTTAAATACAGTTAAAATGTTGTGCCTTGTGTATATACATATGTTCATAAGATTTACCTTTGAGCTATTTCAGTAAACTGGTTGAATGTGATTATCTCACCCAGATAGCATATGAATATGAGCCACTTTAGGAAGTTATACAGCACTGGTGGTATTCCTTTGGCCCACACAAAATGAATGTGAGCCTGAATGTGGCCCACCTGTACAATGGCAAAGGGGGCCAAATATTCAAATTCATACTCTGTTAAAATAGTTGGGTTAAAATACTCCAACATATAACTCAATTATAGGTTATTATAGCACCTTCCCAACTATGGGTTATTTAACCCAATGCATTGGGTTATATAATTTAACCCAATGTATTGGGTTATTTTGATTAAATGTATTTTTTCCATTCTGGTATTACTATTACTACTATTACTAGTACTATTCATTTTATAATTGTGACTGTGTAAATTAATAACATATAGTATTCAAAAATATTGAAAATGCTTTTTTTCCATTACATTTTAGTTTCAGACACATTTGGTAAAATAAATCAAGAATCACAAACAATGAAGAAACAGAACAAAGTACAGACAGGTATAAACTATGCAGGCAGAAAATCATGTGCTGATGAAGCAGGATATGGAGCTCTGTGTGCTGTAGAGACTGTCCAGCAGCGGCAGCAGGCTTCACTCAGTGTCCACAACATACAAAACAGTTTAACCACATCTAAACACTTCTAAAAGATAGTATTAGATGGTGAAACGGATATAAAATCTGGGTCTGGCTCACACATGTAAGTGCAAATGTGGTCCAGTTAGCTTAAGACATATGTGGGCCAGTTGGCAAATATTCGGCACAGTAAACTCTGGCTAATGCAGCCGTTAGCCAATAGTGGCCCAGAGAAGATATGGCAAACGTGGCACAGTTATCTTAAAACATATGCGGACCACATAGACTAAAGTTATCATCATAGAGATAAGTGTTTGCTTTAGTTGGGCTCATAGCCCTGAACCTCTTAATATAAATTTTATTTTGGGCTGCTGTAACTTTTAAGAACTTTGCTTAAAAAGTTTATTCATTACAGCAAACAAGCCAAATTAAAAAATACTATAAAATTAAGTGAGGCACAAGCTGTGATGAAAGAATATAATTCACTGATGTTAACCAATGTTTAATTCAATATTAGAAGTAACGTAATAACATGCTTGCACATGCCACAGGTTTATGAATGTTTAAAAGCTAAAAAAAAATCTATGATTCAACTGCTGCTCACGGAGACATCAATAATCAGCGTATGAACCTCAACAATGGTGACAATTAACAAAATGAACAAAACACAAGCATCACAAAAAGGACATTAAAAGTGACAAAATCAACAACGTCAACATAAACAGCAAAATCAACAGCAAATAATGAAAACTGGAGCATCAGTAAGCTATAGAATATAGTCATACTGCAATGCATGCTGGGATTGTTGTACTTTGCCACACCCAGCATGTGTAAGGTGTACGCCAGATCTGAGCCAGAATAAAAGCAAATTGTGGCCCAGAAAAGGGTCAGTTATGGTTCATTGGGTTGAATTCTGGCTGATAAGTGATACTGCTATGGCTTAATTGTGGCCCAGATCTAGCAAACAGGAGCAGACCCCCCAAGTGCCATCATTCCATGCGGTATATGGGCCGGATGTAAGTGTCTGGTGTGGGCCGAATTTGAGCCACATGAATTTTGCTAGCTGGGCACTCAGTTTCCTTTATTATTGAAATTTAGAAATGGATGAACCTGCAGTTCCTCAAATCAGGACACATTTACAAAATAAATGATGGAAAACATTATCAAAATGTACCTGCAGAGGTAATCAATTCAGGGAACATTCCCAAAATATAAAAATGCGCCTTAATAGCTCATCCGAAACTAAACTAATGCAGTATACTAATGCATATAATTCCAACAGGGAACCAGTGCAATATACAGAAACTGTAATCAGTAAATATTATGGAATGTTGCCATTGATAAATTAGTAATACTCACTGTGTTTGAGAAACAAAAATGGTTTAAGTGAAGGATTTTTTCAAATTTTCTATCACATATACCCTTTCCTCCTTCCTACGGATGCAGGAAAGATCATCATGGTCGCTGGAATGTACCTTTTAGGATTCTGTAAAAATCTGCCAAAAGTGTTTCTTCCTTCTAAATAATACCTGATCAAGCAAAGCAATGCACAAACATCCAAGTTAAAACCGAAAGCTCTCTTTATATGTGAATATACCTATTTGTATGACTGTAGACACTTTCTGTGTTTCTTTCACACACTCACCCTTCTCCATGTGGTTTTCTGTGTAGCTGTAACCCGGTGAACTCGACCAGTCATGCGACCAAAGAGCCCATATAGGTTTGGACCAACTTTGTGTTTGCCACAAATCTCAATAGTGTGACACTGAGAGCATTTCTGAACAAAAATCTTCTTTCCTTTTTCTAAGTCTCGTTCTCCCATTTTAATATAATTTAGGGAGCCGTAGAATGAAAAACTGAATATGCCTACAACAAACAAAGGAAAGATCAAACCATGAGCCTCAGTCACCCTTTTTTCCTCATTCACATGTAAATTAGTATGAGCTCCTGGTGAACAAAAGCCAATCCAAATAAAACACCTGATTTATTTTATCTTTGCCACGATGAGAGTAAATAATAATTAACTAGATATTTTTCAAGACAGAGATTTTTCTATACTGCTTAAAGTGACATTTAAAGGCTTGACTAGGTTATTTGGGTTAACTAGGCAGGTTAAGCTAATTAGGCTAATTATTGTATACCAATGGTTTGTTCTGTAGAAGATTGAAAAAATATAGCTTAAATAGGTTAATCATTTTGACCTTAAAATTGTTTTTTTTTTGTTTTTTTTATTAAAAACTGCTTTTATTCTAGCCAAAATAAAACAATTATGACTTTCTCCAGAAGAAATCAGACATACCGTAAAAATTTTATTGCTTTGTTAAACATTATTTGGGAAATATTTAAAAAAGAAAAAAAATCAAAGGGGGGCTAATAATTTCAATAGTACCTGGATGCAGCCTTTATGATGCAAGCTGAGATTGCATCACTCAGCGATGCAATGTCAGACACAATGCACTCAATGGAGTGAGTGACGTCACTGTGACTGGTAGGGTTATAGGTGGGGTAAAGTGAGTGCATTAAAAAGCATTGGAGTCCTCCAGGTGAGTCAGAGTTCCTCACACCTCCAATACAAATCTCTGCCATTTGTTTCACAGTAACATGTGCCATTCAACATACACAGTTAATCTATTCATGATTTCCTTTTCATGTAACTCATGTTTGACAGTTTATAACCTCAGCTAAGTTGTGATGAACCCAACAATGACATTTAGGAATTTGAATGTAAGATCTATGTACTTTTTTGTCATGGCTTGAAGAGAAAACTGCATGTTAATACTTCTCTACCTTTGGATTGCTGTTGGTTGAGCTGGTTTTGTGGGTTGGTATTTCACTCATGTCTGACAATGCTTTGTTCAAGAAAATAAAATGGATAGGTGACTTTTGACCAGTAAGAATGGCTTTAACCCAGCTTTTTCCACACACCGGTAGCTTCATACAGTAAAAAATGCAGTTTTCAATTTCATAGTGGTGCATATTGTTACAACTAAGATTTTCTGTACAGTATATTAGTATGCTTCAATCTACGACTTGCACATTTAAATGTAATTTAAGCAACTTTGCCTTCTTTAAGGCTTTGAGATTCTTTCTCTTTATCATTGTTGATAATAACTTTTATAGATACAGATTAATTTTGATGGATAATTGATTTAAACATGTCATCCTTCAACTGCTTTCTGTTTCTGATTAGGCTCAGAATAGCAGTATAAGCTTTCAGCTTTACGATCTTAAGTTTTTACAGCTTGTCAGAATCAATAACTTGTGAAAAATGGTTTGCAAATTTATTCAGCACCCCCCGAAGAGGCATAAGGTCTGTTTAACTGTATGTTTTGTTTGTTTACATCACGCTGTGTGAATATTATAGACGTGAGCTGCATTAACCAGAGCCATATAGAGCTCCAACTGGAGCATGAGAGAAGAACTTATTAATACTCATGACCCTTCCAAATAAGGTCAAAACAGAGCATTTATTCTGTAAAACATAGGGTTCTAAATGAGCTTGTAATTATGGAACATTCCAACAATTATGGAGCTTAACAATTTTTGCACTTACCTAAGCCAATTTCAGTGTACAACCCCAAATCAGAATAAGTTGGAACTAAAAAGTGGAAAAATTTATTAATTTCTAAATTTACTTTGATTTCTTTTTTCATTGCAGACAATACAACAAGCATCATTTAATGTGTTCCTCATGATTTTTATTTATTTATTTATTTTGGGACTAAGCCAAAAAGAAAATAAATGAATTAATACATTTATTTATTTATTTATTCAAAATAAACATTCCATTTTTGGTTTTTGCAACACATGTCAAGAAAAGTTGGAACAGGAAAGCATTTACTACTTTGTAATGTTGCTATTTCTTTTTCACTACACTTAAAATACAATTTCAAACTAAAGACACCAAGCGATGAAGTGTTTCTGGTGTATTTTCTCCCATTCTTACTGCAAACAAGTCTTAAGGTGGGCAACAGTATACAGGGTCTTCATTGTCACATTTTGAACTTAAATATGCACCACACATTCTCTATTGGAGGATTCTTGAAGGCCAGGACTGCAGACAGGCCAGTCTAGAAACAGTATCCTCTTCCTTCACAGCCAGGACCTTGTAATGTGTGCAGAATGGGAAAGGCAGCATACTTTGCTCCAAAATCTCTATGTACTTTTCAGCATTAATGGTGCCATCACAGAAGTGCATGTTGCCTTTGCCCATGGCACTTGACTATGACAGACCCTGGCTTTCGAACTTTGCACACTGCGTCTATTTCTCCAAAAAAATACTTGAATTATTGATTGATTTGACCACAGTACACGTTTCCACTGTGTGATGGTCCATCCCAGATGCCTCAGAGCCTAGAGAAGTTGACAGCGCTTCTGGACACTGTAAACATAGGGTTTCCTTTTGGCACAGTACAGTTTTAACTGTGGCATTTGTGGATGTAACTATGTACTGTGGTACTTGACAATGGTTTGTCAAAGTAGTCAAAGAAGCCCTATGCGGTGATATCGCTTATAGATGAATGAGGATTCTTGATGCAGTGCCGCTTGAGGGATCAGAAATCATGGTAGTTTAGCTTAGGCTTGCACCTTTGTCCTTTATGCACCGAAATTTCTCTAGATTCCTTTATTTTTATTATCTTATGCTCTGTTGAAGGTGAAATATCCTATCTTTTTTGAGGAACTTTGTTTTTAAACATTTCAATAATTTTCTTATGTATTTGTTGGCAAACTGGCAATCCTCTGCCCATCTTTGCTCCTAAAGGACTAAACCTTCCATGGATGCTGCTTTTGTACCAAATCATAATTACAATCACCTGTTGACATAATCACATCAACCAATTTACCTGATCACTTGCCCTAAACTGCTCCTGTCCCAACTTGAAAATGTGCTAAAACTCAAAAGAAAACAGGAGATAAGAACTGGTGAGTGTTTTCCACAAGTTTTATAATTAAATAATACAGTTTTAATAAACAATAAAAAATATTAATATTAATAATGGCATTATTATTGCAACATGGTGGCTTAGTGGTTAGTATTGCCGCCTCGAGTTGGCATTTCTCTTTGTGACGTCTGCATGTTCTCCCCGTGTTCGTGTGGGTTTCTTTTGGGTGCTCCGGTTTTTCCCCACTGTTCAAAGACATGCGCTATAAGTGAATTGGGTAAACAAAATTGGCTGTAAGCTTGTGTGAATGCGAAAGTGTATGCACTGTAAAAAAAATTATAATTTTACGGTTTATAAAACGTAAAATAACAGCCGTTAAATTACAGAAATATACCATAAAATAACAGATATTCAATTACAGAAATTTACCAGAAATGTAAATTTAGGGAAATTTCTGTTATTATATATCCATTATTTAACATTCTGTAATGTAACTGTTATTCTACCTTTTTTTCAGCACCCCAGTTGCCGAACATAAACCGTAAAATTATGGGGGGTTTTTTGTGTGTGTGGTTGTTTTTACTTTTAATATTATCCTATTTTTTTTCCTGTGGTTTAGTCCATTTTGAAAGTGGTATTCCATAGAGTAGAAAACACTAATGTGTCAATGTGAGAAGAGGGTCTGGTGTTTTGTTTTTGTTCCCTCACTGAACATTTTTGTTTTGTCAGTAGATGTGTTTTGTTTCACATTCTTATGAAAAAAGTTTTCTGCGTTACTATTAAATGCAATCAGTTGTCTTTTTAAAGTGATTTTTTAGTTTTATTTTTTATGGTTTAGTCCACGTATGATCGGCTTGGCCTAATTCTTGTCAAAGCTGTCTCTTGGCTGTCTCTGGTTTTCTGCAGGGGTTTTGAAGACTTGCAGCTAAGATACTGCTGCTTACAGTTGTAAAGAAAACTCATTTTCGAACAGATGTATTTGACTATGCCTAGGTATGCTCAAATTTCCTTTATTGGGTGCATTAAAGAGTGAAAAACCTGAGCACATTTTCTGATGTTGAGACGTTGATGAGATCTCTTATGAAGTTTTGGAGAAGACAGACTCAGACTTTTGGAGAAATTACTCAGAACATGTTGAGATTTTGATTAGATAGATCTCTTATGAAACGATAGAGACATATATGAGAGTACCAGATTCCTTTACTTAGGAGAATGGACTGAGCACATTTTGAGACATTTATGAGATCTCTTTGAATGATACAAATGTCAGAGCACCAGATTCCTTCATGATGGAAAAAAGTTAAAACATTTTGAGACCTTAAGTGCTTTGTGAGACTTTAGTGAAGACAAATTTGAGCGTATTAGAGTGTTTGTCACATGAGATAAAGGTGAGAAGCAGGAGATGCTAATATCTCCATTCGGTAATCTCATTTCTGTAGTATTTTGTATTATAATAACACATCCCACATAGAATGTTATTCATAATTTACTTTACTCAAACAATTTACAAGCAGGCAAGAACAGATGGAAATACATGAAGGGAAACGAAATAAATAAAAACCATCAACAAAACATCTCGACCCATTGCCGTTTTTGGGGCTTTGTTAGTCTAAAGCTGTGTAGTCTGTGTTTTTGACAGTTTCTTCTGAATCTTCTACTGTTTCAAACATGTAGTCGTGGACTTGAGTCCTGCAGAAAAAAAGCAAGTATTAGAAAAGATAGACTATTAAAACAATAAAATAAAAAGTATATTAAAAAAACATTTTATTTAATTGATTATGATTTGTATCAAACAATATAAACATATGCAGTAAAATAAACCCATAAACTTTATCAGAATGTTTACCTTTCTTTTGGAAATGATGGTGATTCAGGTGTGCGCGTGTACAAAGCCAAAGCTCGTAAAGGATCTAAAGCAAAAATGTTCCTCCTGCCAAACCGCTGCGGGAGGGTGGCTGAGGGTCCGGTCCCCGACCGTGCACACATGGTACAGGAGCGGCCAAATCGCTGAGGGAGGTTGATGGTAGACTTGGGAGCTCGGTCTCCTGTGCCTGGCTGTGCATCTCGTCCGAAGCGAAGAGGGAGGTTTGCATGCAGGTGAGCTGGTTTTGGTATTATAGGATGAAGACGTAGGATGGTTGGAGAACTCGCACCACCACTGGTTGGGGCCACATTAAGAGTGAAGTCTTGAATCTCCAGACTGCGGGGAATCTCTTGAGCATTCTTTGAGATATAGAAAAGGATAATGGTCAACATTCTTAGTTGTTACAGATTTTGTTATCACTTTATTTTGATGGTCCCTTTAACACAACTAATTTTCAACAGATTAGGAGAGAATTAGGCTGTTGGGTTGGGGTAGAGTTAGAGTTAACTTGTTAGTGTAAGTTTGACATGTACTTGCAAATTTTCTTAGTCAAATAAATGTTGAAGGAGCAGTATCAGAAGATATGAAGCAGACAGTCTACTAATACTGAAATGAGAATTAATTGGCTTGTAGTTGCAATGTAACTTTAGTCAACAAAATGTGCAAAAGGGACCAAAATAAAGTGTGACCCAGATTGTTTTTTCAATGTGCTGATATTACTTGCTGTTGATCAAAAAGTTGCACTTGTTTACATTACACACCGAAAATTGCTGTCTCAACTCAAATTTGAGTAAAATATAGACAAACATCAAAGTCTTAACCCAACAGGATTTGCCCATAATTTCAACAAATATGATTTTTTTATGAATGTATGATTTCATTTTTAGCATTTTCATTTATAAAATTTACTCAGACGGCACTTTAGGTCTTAAAAAGTCCAACAATTTTCCCTATGTTTCTTTTACACAGTAAAAGGGAAAATGTGTTTTTGTTACATTTAAGGAAATATTTTTGCCTGCCCTGACCTTCCTGTTTTTATTGGATACCATATTGGAATATTAGATATGAAAAATAAAACAATTTAAAACATAAAAAGACAGTCACCTTTTGCAACAACAATAGTAAAATAGTTATAGACAATTTTAAGGGATGTAAACAACGACAATGGTCCTAATGTATTTCCTGTTTTACATTTTTAATTTTTATAGCTTCCGAAAATCCCAAGAGGTCCAGAAATTGATAAATAATGTTATGACACCTCTTTCAATGTTATATTATGAATGAATCAGCACTTGTTACAGTTATGAAACAGTTTCACGACAAGCAGGACATGTTCTGACATCACCGAATTGAAATGGTCTGTACATTTTTCAGAACTTTTGACTGAATTTTCTGTCGCTTTATTATTGTTGTAATATGCATTCATTCATTCATTCATTTTCTTTTTGGCTTAGTCCCTTTATTAATCTGGGGCCACCACAGCGGAATGAACCGCCAACTTATCCAGCACATGCTCTATGCAGCGGATGCCCTTCCAGACGCAACCCATCTCTGGGAAATCCATACACACTCATACACTACCGACAATTTAGCCTACCCAGTTAACCTGTACTGCATGTCTTTGTCTTTGGACTATAGGGAAAACCCATGCAAACGCAGGGAGAACATGCAAACTCGACACAGAAACACCAACTGAGCTGCAGCCGAGGCTCGAACCAGCGACCTTCAGTTAAATGGATAATTCACCAAAATTTTTTCATTTATTAGCCCCCCTTCATCTTTCAAACTTGTTTGAGTTTAATTCTTAAGTTGAACAAAAATATATATATATACAGAATATTCTTAGAAACAGGAAGCCAATGACTTCTATAGCATTTGTTTTTCCAATTATGGATGTCAATAGCTACAGGTTTCCAGCATTTTTAAAAATATTTTTTTTGTATTCAACACAAAAATAACAACTCCAAGGTTTCAATCAACCTAAGGATGAGTAAATGACGAGCACATATTTATTTTGAGTAAACCTTTCCTTTGCTTAATTAAACTTTTAGTTCTAGATTTAGTTTTATAAATGATGAAATAAAAAAGCCCTATAAGAAATAGAGCTCTTACCTCTGAAAACTGTCCCCATGTAAATCCATTAAGATCTCTTTCACCTGAAAGTGGCAATCTGAGAGCCGTAACTTCACTTAGCATGAAGCTGCTCAGGATGCCGAGGGCTAAAGAAAGAAGAGCGAAGTAGGACATCTTACAATCGGTCACTGAAGGCCAGGAACATCACAAGCTTTTTATACATTTGGGCACGTGCAAATCAACATGATCACAAAGACATTCCTTATAATGCACTCACAGCTTTGCATATTTAATATATTAACTCCACCAGCAGCATTAACCTTCATTCATTCGCTAATGACCTTCTTGAGTGTTTCATAGCAACCAGTGGCGTCTTAGGCTTCTTAATGCACCAGAAAATGACAAGTCACTATGATTTAATACTTAAACCCCTCTTTTTAATACTTTAACAGTTTAAGCCAGGATTAGGCCTCAGTTAAATGTATTTAATTGGATAATACAATAAAATAAAAACAACTTTATACAGAAAACATATTACTGCAAGGCAACTCAATAGATATATCACTAGTTATTTTCAGTTAATTAAGTCTGGGACTAGCCTTAAGCCCTGCCTGTGAAGTGGGAGGTTATCGTGGTAGGTAGTGTTGAAAAATTGATATGTCTACATTAGTGAGCAAAAGACATGGGCCAGGATTCTGACGATATGATAACCTTGGATAAAAAAATATCATAGTATTGTGATACTGCTCTGAAATATATTCTTTTTAAATGTCTAAATAAACAAAAAACTTGTTCCCCTTTGAAAACAATATATTTTATTTTAGGAAACATTTAAAATATTTTGGAACAGTAAACATGTCAGGCTAAATAATACATCCTTGCTACAACATACCGTTAACACTAGAAACTGTGCATGTAATAGGTCAATTTTAGCAAATAAAAATGCTTGCAGGTTGTGGCTCACAATCCACAGCTTCTTTTAATATGGTTGGAGGAGTTTTAGCTGAGTCTAGCGCTGAACTAGGAGAGATTCTGGAAGCTCTCTTTTGTCAAATGCTAGCTATATCTTTTTTTTTTTTTTTTTTTTTCATTTTCTGGACCATAATTAAAATTAAATTGCAAACACTTCTCTCTTTGTGTCATGTACTTTGGAAGCCCAAATCCAGAAACAGAACAAGCTCTGTGGAAATGGTGGCGTTTAGACGGCATTTTAGCTTTTAGTACTATAACATTATAGTTGCTGCACGGGGTGTATGCGCATGGTGAATGCATGTAATCCGAAGTGTTTGTGATCTCACTAGCCCAGATTTATTTGTTTGTAGTCCCTAAATTTTGTTTGCTGTAGGCTTTGCTAAGCTAACTCTGTAAAAGCCAATGTCTCCCTTTGCATTGAACTTTGAGCATATTACATTCAGAGTTGTTGTTTATGTTCACACATTTACATTACACATGAACTAAAATTGAAAATTTGATATCATAGTGGACCACCAATTTGAAGCTGTATCTTTTTGTTTAGATCAAAAGAAAATTTAAATAATCAATTGACTTTCTTCAACAAGACAAATATGCTTTGTACCAGATTATTTAAAAGATTTTTCATGGACATAGAAAATATAGATTAAGGCAAATTATATATTTATCATTGCTCAGGTAATAAACTTTTGATGTGAACCATTACCGTCAATTGATTAAATTGAATTAGATCAAAGAAAGCTTTTTTTTCACCCTGTTTTTCACAGTATGAATTTACAGGAGCCTTCAAAAATGGGCATAACTGCTGATCACAGTACGTGCAGATTGATATCAAAATGTTTTTATTGTCTTATTCTTATTAACATTTGCAAAATGTAAAACAATCCATAAAAACTGGATAGGTTAGATTACCTTTAAAAGTCCCAATGAATGTAAAGAGACAGGTTTTTCTGTTGTACCATTTGGCATTATTTCTTAATATAGCTACTGGTATTAAACTTGTAAAGCATCAATGATAAATTATTGTATTCAATTACCTTGTTTTTTCATCATGGTTTTATAAATTGAGCATAAGCCGGAAAAGGCTAACCAGTAATCCCTTGGAAATTTGCACATCTTCTATTCCATGTGTTTATACCGAACAAAAGGTTTGGACTTGCTCCAAATTAGCTGGAGATGCATTCAACACATAATAGTGCAAATCAATTCATTGTGCAGCCCACTGAGACCCCAATTACCACCGATGGAGTGAGAAAGAATGGTCTGATGTTTTCTCTAAAAGACGTATGACACATGAGCTTGAAAAGACGTTAACATGCCTGGATGAGGAATTGCAGACCACAGAATGACTGTGGTATTTTATTCTATCAAAAATATTTGCTAATTGCCATAACTGCCATGCATATGACATCAATGGTAGTGAGGGGAAGGTATTTTAATTTTGTCATCAGAACTGTCTGGAGAAGACCGACATTTTATACTTCATTTGCTAAAGGGTTATTCACCAAAAAATGTCAATTATGTTATTAATTACTCACCTTCATGTCATTCCAATCTGTATTTCCATTCGAGTCAGCAGTGCAACACACAAGTGTGGTGTTGCCTGTAGAAAATTTACAACCTGATCTAATGTGGAAACAAACAAGTTTGCTTTTATAGTCTTTTGGTGCACAAAGGTGTTTATGGAGTTGCTTATAATTACAGTTGCCACTAAATTCACATGATTAAACAATGTTTTCTTTTTCTAGACTTTGAACGACCATTGACAATGCTGTTAATTAGCACTTCCGAGGTCAAATCCGAGGCCATGGTGCTCCACCGGAAAAAGGTGGTTTGCCATCTCCAGCTTAGAGGTAAATCCTTACCCAGCTGAAGAAGTTCAGGTATCTTGAGTTTTTGGTGACGAGTGAGGGATGGATAGAATGTGAGATTGACAAGTGGATCAGTGCAGCGGCAGCAGTAATGCGGTTGATTTATCTGTTTGTTGTGGTAAACAAGGAGCTGAGTCGAAAGGCAAAACTTGTGATTTACCGGTCAATCTACGTTCCAATTCTTACATGAGATTTGGGTTATGACCGAAAGGACAAGATCTAAAATACAATCAGCCGTTCCAATTGTCACCTATAGTCATGATATTTGGATTATGACCAAAAGCACAAGATCTCAAATACAATCACCCTCCTTCGCAGGGTGGCAGGGTGCACCCTTATAGATAGGGTGAGAAGCTCTGTCACCCGGAAGGAGCTCCTCTAAATGGAGAGAAGTCAGCTTAGGTGGCTTGGGCATGTGGTTCGGATGCCTCCTGGACGCCTACCTAGCGAGGTTTTCCAGGCATGTCCCACCAGAAGGAGGCCTTGTGAAAGACCCAGGACTCGTTGGAGGGACTATGTCTATCGGCTAGCCTGGGAACGCCTCGGGATCCCCCTGGAGGAGCTGGAGAAAGTGTCTGGGGAGAGGGAAGTCTGGGGTTGTCTCCTAAGACTGCTATCCTCCACATCAGGCCCCAGCTTTCACATATCATTGAAATATTTTAATTTGTGTTTAATTTAAACAAAAGGTCTCAGGATATTGAAATGACATGAGGGCATCATCATAGTATGATCATATCATATAGTCATCATCATATAGTTGAAAGTTACACTTTCTTCTGTGTACATCTTAAAATCTCAGCTGTTAGATCTTGTACTTTACATTTCTGAGGTGTTAGCTAACTTTAAATGATTTAATTACAGTATATAAAGATTTGTACCTTTTGAGGGCCTGTACAGGCACTTAGGCACAATTCTAATAAGTGGTTTGCAATCTAAACACCACACCAGTGGTGTCCAAACTCAGTCCTGGAGAGCCTGTGTCCTGCATATTTTAGTTTCAACCCCTAATAAACACACCTGAACCAGCTAATCAAGCTCTTTCTAGATATACTAGAAACTTCCAGGCAGGTGTGTTGAAGGAAGTTGGAGCTAAACTATGCAAAACACCGACCCTCCAGAACCGAGATTGGACACCCCTGCACCACAACCTCTTTGACCCATCAAAGCAGTGCTTTTTAGAAAAGGCTGATTTTCTACTTCAGTCAAGACAGTCTCAATTACAGACTTTGAACAATGGAGGCAGGACTATCCACAATTGCTTTTTTGACTCCTGGATAATATCGTTCCCCTGGACATATTGTTCCTTGATTTGTCAAGCCCCTCTTATAAACTTCATGTAGGGATGCCAGCTAATTATGTGTGTGCCCAGAGAGCACGAGTTGTTACATATCATGCATTTTAGGCTGTAGTATTGTCAAGGATATTTTTTCTGGAAATGTTGTTAAAAAACAGCTGTCTGGATGAGGAGCATTTTTTCCATTTTATAATTTAAAATGAAAACGCACTAATGTAAATGCAGCCTGCAGTGACTATAGTGGGTTCCTTAGCAGTAACTTTTGTCGCCAAGGATTTTCCAGAGATTTTCAATCAGGTTTAGATCAGGAGTTTTATATAGCAATTTTATCCAGTTAATTTTGAGACACGGGGTTCATTAGATTGCATTAAAATTGCTGATTGGGTCATAAATGAACAAACGGCATGTTGATGTAGAAGCTTTTCATTAAACAATTTTTTATCATGTACTGTAGCTATATAAGAACAAATAAGATAACATCCCCAAATCATAACACTTACTCTTCACACATAGATTTCAGTTTGGTCACCGCATGGAATTCAATTCAAATTCTCTTTAACTCTAAAAACAACAACAATAACAACAACAACAACAACAACAACTGTATGCTAAGATACACATTGCACTAAAATTGCTAAGCTTCCTAGTCATTTAGTAGTATAGAAGCTACAAATGTTTTCAATGTTTAAATGAAAAATAAAAGGTAAATCAAAATATAAGTGGCAAGTCCTAACAGGAATCTGAGTCAAAATCCAACACATATCACATGTTTCAGGCCTGGACCTCTGTCTGCTTCTCCATAGAACTCGAGACTGGTGTGGTGGAGGTGATGCTGGTACTTGCGTCACCAGCTTCATTCTGTTCCCATGGCTCTTGATCCAACATCCTTTTTACACAGATTCTTACTGTGTTCAGCAGTGAACTGAAGAGTATCAAATACAATGGTGACCTTATTATTTATTGATATTCTCCACTTTGTCCTGTCCTCTCGTGCAATTGTCTTTCGTGGATGACCAGGCTTTTTGGGGGGACTTTGATGAGTTTGTGACATTATGA